TTAAGTGTTTTCATTCATGCATCTTCAGGAAAGTATTGTTAAAAGAAGGATAACTCTGTATCAATATCTCTTTGACCATTGCTGACGTGGAATAGTAAATAGCTATGATACTTTTCCTTGCCCCACCCAACCCAGAGTTCACCTGCCCTGGGAAGGGCACTTCCTTTGAGCACTGACTGCTTCACCACAGGAGCCTATTCTCTGACTCTCTGAGGAGACTTTCTCTCACTTTCTGGAATCTACTTCTGGAATCTACAGCAAGCCAGAAGTGCTGAGATTTTAACCACCCTAGAGAGGTTGGGCAATCTACTTCTGTAGTGATACTGTCTCGGCTACCCAAGGAGGGGTCGCTATGAGTCGGGTTCGACTCAATGGCACATAATAACAAAAACAACAGAGACATTTCTAGAAGCGCTGATGAATAGTGCCTAAGGCATCTGACTGCTAACCAGAAGGCTGGTGGTTCAAATCCATCAGCCACTCCTCAGGAGGAAGACTGGGCAATTTAATTCCATAGAGATACCACCTTGGAAACTCAAGGAGGGGTCGCTATGAGTTGGAACAGACTTCATGACATTGAGTTTGATTTTTTGCTTTAGAGACATTTCTTTACATTCCTCTGCAACACTCATCTATCAGTTTCTCATACTGTTATTTGCATATTACTCTGAGGCTTGAAGCTATGCCATCAATATTTAAAATACCAGCAGGGTCACCCCTGGTGGACAAGTTTCAGCAGAGCTTCTGGTCTAAGACAGACTTGGAAGAAGGAAGGAATCATAAATTTCTCAAAGAATGGGCCAGTGGAAATCTTATGAATAGCAGTGAAGCACTGTCTGATATATTCCTAAAAAGCTTTATGAATACCTGTGAAATATTGTCTGATATAGTGCCAGAAGAGGAGCCCCTATGCTCAGAAGGCACTCAAAATATGACTGGGGAAGAGCTACCTCCTCAAAGTATAGTTGACCTTACTGAAATGGATGGAGTAAGGCTTATGGGACCTGATTTGCTGATGTGGCATGACTCAAAATGGGAAGAAAAAGTTACAAACAGCCATTAATAATCAGAACATGGAATGTATGAAGTATGAGTCTAAGAAAACTAGAAGTTGTCAAAAATGAAATGGAACACATAAAGATCAATATCCTAGGCATTGGTGAGCTGAAATGGACTGGTTTTGGCCATTTTGAAACAGACAATCATATGATCTACTATGCTGGGAATGACAAATTGAAGAGAAATGGTGTGGCATTTATCATTCCAAAGAATGTTTCAAGATCTATACTGAAGTAAAACACTATCAGTGATAGGATACTATCCACACACCTACAAGGAAGACATGTTAATACTACTAATATTCAAATTTACAAACCAGCCACCAAAGCCAAAGACAAGGAAACTGAAGAGTTTTACAAACTTCTGCAGTCTGAAATTGACCAAGTATGCAATCAAGATATGTTGATCGTTACTAGTGATTGGAGTGCAAAAGTTGGAAACAAAGAAGACTCACCAATAGTTGGAACATATGGCATTGGTGATAGAAAGGATGCTAGAGATTACATGATAGAATTTTGCAAGACCAATGACTTACTCATTGCAAATACCTTTATTCAACAACATAAATGGCAGCTATATATGTGGGCTTCACCAGGTAGAATACATAGGAATCAGATTGACTACATCTGTGGAAAGAGGTGGTGGAGAAGCTCAATGTTTTCAGCCAAAGCAAGGCCAGGAGCTGATTATGGAACAGATCATCAACTGCTCCTATGTTAAAGCATTTGGCTGCTAACAAAAGGTTGGCAGTTTGAACCCACCAGGCACTCCATGAGAGAAAAATGAGACACTGCTTCCATAAAGATTTACAGCCTTGGAAATTCTATGGGGCAGTTCTACTCTGTTCTACAGGGTCACTATGAAGTAGAATCAACTTGATGGCAGTGGAGGTGTTTTTGGTTTTTGTTTTTATTTTGTACAGCAATTCTTTTCACTCTTTATTGTTCCTTCTCTTGAGACCAGCAAGGGAAGAATTGTAAATGTCTCATGCACCAACAGAGCTTTGTCCTGCTTGATTTATATACAGAATTTCATGTAATCGTCAAAACCACCCTGTGAGAAATGGAATGCTCTCTCCATGTCATAATGAACAAACAGACACTTAGAGAAATGTGAGCCATAAAACTAATGATCAGAAGATGTAGGATTTAAAATAATAAACTCTTTCTGCCTCTACGATCATTTCCATGATGCACTGCTGCCCTCCACCCCAACCCTAAACAGAGCACAGACAAAGAAACTTCTTAGACAGTGGAGGGGGATGAACTCAGAAGACAAAATCCCTTGTGAATAACACATTCACCCTAGAGAGGTTGGGCAATCTACTTCCATAGATTTTGTTGTGGAAACATGGAACATGTTTCAAAGGCCTTATTTCTCTTTTCTTAGTTTTGTTTAGCAAAACAGATATTGGTGGGCAGGTGGCAGAGGGACCTGAACAGACAGAGGGTAACATGGTGGATTTGACCTCTTATGGCTGGACCTGGTTGATCATAGACCTGCATTCAACTCCCAGCCTCCAGTGTCCTCTGTTGAGTTTTAATCTAGTACACAACCATCACAAACACCAGGTTTTGTGCTGATGATAACTAGATCAGGAAAGTACATTTCTGCCAGAATATATCAGGTTCCAACTTTTTCCTCACTGAAGTTTTCATTCTCAGGTCTCATACTGCAGTCATTTCTCACTCAGGACAACTACAGATGGACACATTCTCATTTCCACAAACATTCTGAACAGTGTGTCTTTCAACACAGGCACCCAAGTTGGAAGCTTGGACGTTCTACTAGAGACTTCTTGTCTAAACCTCACAGCAATCTATACACATATTTGATTTATTAATTTTAACATCTTTGATGTGTCTCCTGCCCACTACTGTACCCTCTCTTCAGCAACCCTGCCCCATTATGTCTGGGATCCTAAAACACTTCCCATAGTGTTCATGTGGTCTCGTACCTCCCACAGTTCCAGAGTTGGTAGATAAAGGGCTGTAACTAGGAGAAGTCAGGATGCATACAACAAAGCATCAATCACTGTAATTAAAGAACTAAAAATATTAATCGACATAAAGGAATAGAGAGCAGTCCAGACAAGAAGGCTTACCTGTAACCAGCTTGAGGAGACTGAGAATCGACATAAGTAGGAAGGACATGGATGTGGCTTGATCTTAAGTTATGGAAACA